CACATTGCTATTCCACCTTAGTAAAAATCCTATTTTAATAAATATTTTTTTACGTTCTCCCATTAATTGATCGAGAGATAAATAAATTGAAACTTCAAATCATTATTAATTTGACACATTAATTATTAATACTAAAAATACAATTGAAAAATCAAGATCTCGGTCTAGACAGCAAAAGTCTCAGGAAATGATACGTCCAAGGCAGGCTATGTATGATGCCAATGGGGGTCGTTTATGGGAGTTTTTTTTTTAAATAACTTAAATTTTCAGTTTTGAACTCTGCAGCAACCAGAAATTTAGTTTAGAGATAATTTAGTGAAAACTTCGATTTATACAGATAGTTCAGGAACGGTTGAGTTGCCTTCTGATTTTTAACTGTATGTTTAATATTGGCGAACGATAGATACTTTTATATGATTTAAATTATATTTTTATTCAAAACATATGACAACGGTCGTAGCAATTCATTGGCTGGCAAGCACCTGTTCGTCCTGGAAAAGATATCAATCCGCTAGAATACAAAATGGCGACCATGTGAAGATAGAAGAGATCTTGCATAGGTTGCACGGGTATATATATTGAGTGCTTATAGATATATAAAGCTACCAATACTTTCAATTTATATTATTTACAGTGTTAAGTCCTGAAATTAAAGTCAGTTACCCCATACTCGTAGATTTCAAAAGTTACTTAGTTCAAAGGTTACTTTTATCGGTTTTTCGCTTATATCAGTAAAATGATGCGTTATATCTATAATAGTGTAACATGTGAAATTAAAGCTGACAAAATTTGCAGTAGAAATGGTCATATTAGTTTATTCCCTATATTCTATAGTTTCCGTGATATTTACCCTCGTAATTCACTAATTTAGAAAAAATAAATAATTTTTGCATCACATTTTTATTATTATTTGAGTCACCAACTCTTTATCTTTTCATTTTATGAAAAATCATGAGTGAGAAAGTTGTTTAACATTAAATTTTCTTTAAGAATATGTATTATTTTACGATCTTATCTTCAACCATTCAAAGGCTAGAGCAATTATATTTTAATGACTTAACTTCTAAACTATACAGAAAAAACTTTTTCTCATTAGGCCTGTTGATATGATCAATTTATAAGGACAAAGCTTAGTATGAAATAAGACACCTTTTTTCGCACGGGCTCCCGGACTATTATAAGAGCAGGTACAAACCTGAAACGTCTCAGTTTTTTTATTTGGGTCCACCCCTTCGACATTGAGACTATACGAAGCTTTTCCCTGGTGGAAGGCGGGGAAGTTTAAAACTCCTCCAGCACCAGGACACGAACTCATAATTATTTTATCATGTAAACTTGAGTTTATAAGGTTGCCGGGAAACGTGTGTTTTATACACCTTTAGTCCCCTCAGTTCCAGTCAATGAATGCCCGAAAAAGGGGTAATAGAAAGAAGTGACAGGGTCTCAAATTTTGACTTATGGAAATTGTTTGGACTAGCAAAGTGATAAGCATACTAAAAGCACTGTTAGGTGGTGAGCCAGGTGTGGGGATAGGAGAGAGGAGGGCCTAGGTCACTTTTCGGGTTTTCGCTTATATCAGGAAAACTATCCATTTAGAGTAGATTAAATTATTATAAATTAAATACAATATGATTAATTATATACCATTTTTTGCTATATTGCTTAGTTTCCGAGACATCCATCCTCAATTATTGCTAATGTGGAAAAGACATTTTACCTCATGTTTTTTACTGTATTTGACTAGCTACTGCATTGTTATACGATAAAGTCATGGGAAAGAAAGTTTTTAACAATTAAATTTTCTTCAAGAATATATATTATTTTACTAGTTAATATCCAACGGTTCAAAAGTTAGATCAATTATAACTTTATATGTCAATTCCGAGAATTTGCAGTAAAAATTTATTTTTATAATATTCGTTATTACATTGCTCTAACCCTCTATACATCTAAATCTCTCTCTCTCTCTCTCTCTCTCTCTCTCTAGATAATTTTTCTGATATAAGCAAAAAACAGCAAGAAATATGAGACAATTTATTTTTCTTTGAAATTCGCCAAAGTTGAATATAGATATTTCGCTAACTAAGCGAGGTAGTGAAAAAATGTATAAAATCAATCATATTACAAATTTTATCAACTTTAATTTTTTATAGAACGTCTTTGTTGATGCGATGGATAGTTTTCCTGATATAAGTGAAATCCCGAAAAAAGTGATCTTCTAGAGGCCTCCTCCCTCCTCTCCACCTGGCTTACCACCTGAGAGTGGAGATTTTTAGTATGTTTATTTCTTTACTAGTCAAACAATCTACCAAACTCAAAAATTGTGTCCCTGCCATTTCCTTCTGTAATCATTCATTAACTGAATTACTCGGCCATCTCGCCTCACAGTTGGTATCGTATGGATAATTATTGTTCTGTTTGAGGCAATAAAAATACTTTTTTTTTTTTATCATTATTTCGTAATGATATCTACAACTGTATTAAAGAAATACATTTAGTAAATTTAAACATATGGATATAATGACGTGAAAATACTTGTTGAGTAACTTCCTAGTGGCAGAACTCTTATGATATGTCTACATTAGAAGATCACGGGGCCATCTTCTTTTCAGACGCCTCGGAGGGTTATCAGAAATTGAAGAGGAAACAAATTTAGAAACGAGGTTGGGATGATTCTGAAGTTTATTATAGAAGGATAGGTATCTGGATTAGGCCAGATCTGATACATAAGAAACATTAAAGTCATTATGGATGGTTTTATTTTTAATAAAGCAGGGACCATTGAGGATTTTACGAAGGATCTTAGATTGTAAGGATTGGACATGAAAGGAATTCGATGGTTTAGGGGAGCCTCATAGCTCAACTCCGTAAGTCCAAATAGGCCTTATTATAGTCATGTATATGAGTCTTTTGTAATTAATCGGAAGTTTAGAGCGTTTGTCTAGTAAGTGCTGAAGTAATCGGAAACGTTGAGCGGTTTCTTGTCGTTTCAGTCTGGTATGAGGATTCCAAGTTAGTCGTCTTTCCAGGTGGAGTCCTAGGTAGTGGATTTGTTCAACAGGGATAAGTGGAGTATTGTTAAAGGAAACTGTAGGACAGGAAGTGATTGGTTTACGACGAAGGGTATAGGTAATTTGGTTAGATTTATTAGAATTTATTTTAATTCTCCAGTTTTGACACCATTATTCAAGGTTTATGATGTGTGATTGAAGCATTCGGGATGCAATTGATGGGTCATTATTTACTGATAGAATACATGTGCCATCGGCATATGTGGTGATGACAATGTTGAGATAGGTAGGGATGTCAGCTGTATAAATTGTATAAAGGATAGGGCATAGGATACTACCTTGAGGAACACCAGTGGACTAGGAAATAAAAAAACTAAATTGCCTTACATTAAAATAAAAATAGCCCATAGCTCAGTTTATTTCATACTCTTACTTTATAAAAATAATGTGCATAAAGTATTAGTAAATTACTTAAGATCAGTTTTCTTAAATAAAAAAAAAAATCCTAATCATGTTTAAAAAATTCTTCCTCTTGAACATTATATTTGTTTTTAAAAATATTGAACAGACTTTTTTTTTACTCTAATCTTTCAATTTTCAATCATGTATGATAAATTAAATAGTTATAAATTATATATATAGTTATAGTTATAAACAATATATTTTTAACATTTATGTCCCTTGACATTTTGGTCAGGGAAAACTTTCATTAAACAGGGAAAAGTCCGGGAATAGTCAGGGAATTTTACTCTGACAATTTGGTAGCCACCTTGTCTTTGTTCAACCATCCTCTTGCATTTCTCATCAAACCATGTGTTCTGGGGATTCCCATAATTTGTTTATTTGGTCTCATTAGCTGTCTCTGTGACTGCTTTCTTTATCTTGCTCCATCTATCTTTCACTTCTTCGTTCTCATCTATAGACTCTTGTAGCTTTACAGTCATCCTTTCTGCATACCTCTTATTCTCATCAGGATCATCCAGTTTCTCCAGACAATACTTCTTGGTTTTTGTTACCTGTCCCTTTGCTCGATTGACAATCCTTTGGCAGTATTGTATCATGACCATATTGTGGTCTGATGAGCAGTCAGCACCTCTGAAGCTTCGAACATTTGTCATATCTGTAGCATGCCTTTTTTAGTCATGACATGATCTATTTGGTTCTTGGTTAACCCATCAAGGGAAACTTATGTTTTCTTATGAATACTTTTATGGTTGAAATATGTACTTACCCATACCATACTGAAGCCCGCAGAGGAAGCGAAGTCAATTGCTTTAAATCCATTATTATTACTTTCTACTTGGAGGCTATGTGGGCCAATAGTAGGGCGGAACATTCCATCCCTTCTGATTTTTGCGTTGAAGTTCTCCAATACTATTTTTAAATCATGTCTTGGCAATCTGCCAACTGTGGATTCAAGCGTAGCACAGAAAGCCTCCTTCTGTTCATAATCTTTCTCCACTGTTGGTGTATGATGCTGACCAGGCTTGTATTAGAGAATTTTTCTCTGGTTTTGAGAGTGCAGATTCTTTCATTTACCTGTGTATAATCCATTATTAGGTGTCTTATATTTTTACTTACTAAGAGTCCAGTGCCTAATATATTTTTCCGTTGTCCACGGTTAATAAAAATGTAGTCCTTTAGCTCCCTCAGTTAAAAATTCTTCCATATTATTTCTTGTATTGCTGCAAGCTCTATCCTGTATTGTGCCAGCGTATCTTCCAAAATTCTTCTTACTCCTGGCTCAAATAGACTTCTGACATTCCATGTGGCTATTATGATTTATTTTGTCCTTTTCCGAGTTCCAAGTTGTTTTCTGACTGTCCAAGAGACTGTCCGTCTCTTTGTAGAGTATTCGCAACATTTATTTATTTTTATAAGAATGGGGTGTCAGCCCCTATGCATATAAATATATATATATTTATAATAAAACGAATGAAGTTGTTGCATTGTAATTTAATGAAACTCATGTTTTAAATTTGTATGTAGGATCTGGTGGAAGAAGAAAAATATTAGAAAATGGTAACCTTATAATAGCTCCAGTTTCAAGAGACGATGATGGTATGTACACTTGCATTGCAGAGAATATGCATGGTACTGCTGAAAGCCAAGGAAGATTAATTGTACTCAGTATGTATATCTTTAGATTAATTTACGTATTTCTGCTAGCGCAGAACCAGGGTTTAAAATGATAATTAAATGGAAGTTTATAGGTTTAGGCTTCTAAATCTTTCATATTCTAAATAGGAAGTTTTAAATGTCTATACCTTCTAAAAACTTAAAATGACTTCCTTCAAAACTCGAAAAAATAAAAAAGTTGTCTATTTTATTCAGTTCTGGTATGACTGCAACTTATAATGGTTTTTTTTTTTGTTATTTCAGAAGTAAAACTTTTCCCATGAAAGTTTTCAAATAAAGATTTTATAAAAAAATGTATTTAAAACTTCTATTCATTACACCAAAAAGAAAATTAAAAAAATGTTAGCTATGCAGATCATACTTAATATATATTCGATTCTTATGAATCAGACCTTTCATTCAAGAAGAACTATATCTGTGATCTGAACCCAATTATTTCTTCCTTTTCAATTAACATAACTCTTTTTATGTACTTGAATTAATAAAAGTTGAACTTTTATTTTAAAAACTTTTGTAAAAGTCTCAAGCCCTGAAATCAACTGCTCCCAAGATCATGATAAGGAATGAATAAAAATTATTTTTTAATGTTTACCTTAAATATTTCTTTTAGATAAAAATAGTCATCTAATATGTTTTTAAATAATGAAGAGAAGGATGGTTGGAATAAAATAGGCAAAGATAAATAATAATATTTATTTCAACATTTACCTACGCTTCGACCTGAGGTTCAGGTGAAAACGCGTGACAACTCCTTATTTATTTATTTTTTTTCTTTCCATTCTATTCAAGCGATCTCTTTGATCAGCCCTGATGAAGGCCTGAACTTCGGGTCGAAACGTCAGCAAATGTTAAAATAAATATTATTATTTATTTTTGCCTATTTTATTTTGACTGATCATCCCAACCATCCTTCTCTTCATTATTTAAAAACATATTATATGACCATTTTTATCTAAAAGAAATATTTAAGGAAAGAAAAAATATTATTTTTGTTGATTTGTTGAAAATTTTATTTTTGTTGATGGTTGACTATCAACCCACAATTATGTTTTTAAATAGTTATTAGATTGATGTATTTTGTTGGACTACTTCGTTTGGTCCAATTCAGTTGGCCAATAGTCTTTTTGTCCCTAGCTTTTTTTCTGGTATCAAATATTTGGTTCTTTATCATTTTATATTTTATATTTAAGAATAGTATTAAAATCTTTATTTTTTAATATTCTTATAAGAATAACAAATTATTTTAGAAAAATTCATCAGTATATCTTGTGCCTGAATTCCCATTAGTAAATACTAAAAAAACATTTTTGATATAATTCAATTATACATTTTAGTAATATTGGATTGATAGTTGATTAGTGAATAAATGAAGAGAAGTTGGTTGGGGTGTTCAGTAAAAAAAAAAAAAAAAAAAAAGTTAAAATAAATAAATGATATTTGTTTTTAGTTCTTATGAAGTTCTATCTAAACTTTGGACTGAAATGTCGACAAAAATAAAACTATAATTTATTTATTTTTTTACTAAACAGCCCAACCAACTTCTCTTCTATTAATTTCAGTATTTTATTCATTTACATTTGATTGCAAATAAGAATTAAATTATATTTTCACTTATATATGTAATATATAGTTAGAGAAAGTATTGCGATTGTGAAAAATTTCAAATCTTAATTTTTAATGGAAATAAACATTTTGAAGTCCCCTGAGCTTAAATAACCAAGTCTGGCAAAATGTTCTGTGTGTGTGTGTGTGTGTGTGAACACGCAAGCTCTCTAGCTCAAAAACTAAATGCTGCACAAACCTGAAATTAGATATTTAAGTCAGGTATATGACTGGGATGTTACAGCAACGTTTTCCTAAAAAACCGGAATTGCCACTTTATATCATCGGTTTTACACATTTCTACAATTTTTTCGAAAAAGGCTCTTACCATTTTGATCAAACTCGGTATATCGATGTACAATTAAATCAGATAGATACAATTATATCAGATAGATCTTATCTACATTAATGTCACATATCAGGGCTTAAATGTACAATTCTATTCCTCTAAAGTACCATTTTTTATAGGAAGAAAATAGATTTCTGGAAATTATCGTCAGAATGTGTATGTATTGGAAAGCTGAGAATTTTAGAAAAAACAATATCTAACTTACAAAGTTATTGAAGACAATGGAGAGTATTGATAAAATTATAAATAATAATTTCTGAAAATTATTATATGTATATAAAGAAAAACCAATGTCTCCATGGAATCAAAATGAAATTCCTTAACTAAACATAATTTTTTTTTATTTTGTAAAAAGTGTATAATCCAATGAATCGAGGCAATAGAATTGTTTAAAACCTATTGTATTGTACTTGTGTTAAAGAAGAAATAGAAGGTAAAAATATTTCATGGATGAGTAAAACATATCTTTATAACCTTATATACATTTACTGAAGTTCAATAACTCTAGATCCGATAATATGATTAAGTAATTAGGTATATATCATTGACTTTCCAAATACCATTTTTGTAACATTTTAAAAAAGAAAATGAGTGAATTATTTGATGAATTTTCCTTTTTTGAAATCACAAGATTATGCTCCTACAACTAATTTGACAACTTTTAATCTATCGATACTGTTATGATAAGCCGTAACTGTATTTTTTGGTAGCTTTTACAAGAGACAAAATAAGTGTTTAAATATATGTAAAATATTTGCTTATATGAAACTCTTGGTTTAATCATAAAACAATACATATGATCAATTTCGAGAATAGAGGAGCACAGGGTATGAGAAGCACAGAACTTAATACAGATCACAAGCTACTAGTCGCTGATACTAAAGCTATCAAGCCAAGGAAGAGAACTAGTAAAGTATTTAATAGAATCGATGTTAAAATGTTGAAAATGGAAAACAAACAAGAAGAGTTCAGAAAATGCAGGAGAGTCGCCATCAGTTAATAAATGGAGATAGTGAATTGGATAATCTTCGGAAAAAAATTAAGAACTACATCATCGATACAGCTAGTGAAGTATGTGGTGTTAAAAAAATGAGGCCGTCTACCAAGAAAAAAAATGGTGGAATGATGAGGTGAAAAGAGCAGTAAAGCTCAAAAAGGATGCCTGGAAAAGATACTATGGAACGAAAATACCTATCCACTGGGAAGAATATGGTAAGTACAGAAATGAGGCCAAAAGAATAATTAGATCAGTCAAGATGAGGATGATTGTGGAACCTGGGATCATTTCGGTCAGGAGCTAGAACAAAATTATAAAGAGAATATAAGGAGATTCTGGCATATTGCAAAAGCTCTAAAAGCCAAAAAGTCAAAATTGATCAGAAATATAAAATATGCGAATGGCAAGTTGGTGACTGAAGAAAAAGTGGTATTAGAAGTTTGGATACAGTTCTTTCAGGAAAAATGTAGTATGGAAGAACATCGACGTCATAATCTCAGAGACTGCAGAAGGAGAGTGAGGGTGGAAGAGGTTTACTCGGAGGATTTGGATCATGCAATAGGTGAGGATGAGGTAGAAACGGCAGTAGCCAGAATCAAAATGGGAAAAGCACAGGGACCAGATGAAATAGCTCCAGAATTAATTAAATATGGAGGCAATGAAATGATCAAGATTCTTCAAACTCTTTTCCAACAGCTTTGGGACCACAAGCTGATACCAAAAGAATGGGAAAACAATATCATAAGCCCTATACACAAGAAAAACAAACAAAGCGAATGCAGAAACTATAGGCCAATATGCCTTTCTTCAGTTGTATACAAGATATACACAAGAATTCTTGAAGAGCGACTAAGGCATATAGTAGAGCAAGATCTAGAGGAGGATCTAATAGTCTGTGGGCCAGACCCCCTTACCGTGCACCCCCCCCCCCACATCCCTATTAATTGCATATCGTTGTGTTCCTTGTAACTATTTATTAAAAAAAAGTGAATGCACTGCCCCAAAATGGCGTCCAAAGATGGCGGATTGACGACTTTGACTTTAGTTAGTTTTTTGGTCACTGAGAATCAGCATTTGGCTTAATTTCCTCATAGTTGGTCTTTTATTAAAGCTGAATAGTTATAGAATAATAAAACATGAAAAAATATTAAAATATAATTGGCTTAGGCTATGAAAAACACCAGTAAAGTCAATTTTTTTAACAAAAAAATTTTCAAGTTACAAATCAAGCGTCGTTTGTAATTAAATGGCCTACAATAATGCAAAATGTGCTGAAATAAACCATCTGGAGAATATACTTCTCTTTCTAAAACGCTGATTATTTTTTACAAATGTTTAAGCAGTTCCGTAGAAAACGCACTTATGCGGCAGAAAAGCAGTACTGGCGTGGGTGCCTACATGCCTCTACCACACCATTCAGTGCACATAAATGGCTTAGTTATAGTGATATAATAACATTTCTGGTATATTATATTGGTTTTATTAACGAAAAAATATTAATCGAATCATTTAATTGTAAAAAAAAATTAAAATTAAAAAAAAAATTTATTATTATTTTTTTTTAATTTAACCTCCTTTATTCTATACGTAGGTCGTTTAAGAAGACCTCAATTGTAAAAATGATATAATTATAATAATAAAACTTAATTAAAAAAGAATTTGCTAAATATCTTGATTTTTTTTATTTAACATTTGCAATTTAACACTGTGTTTTGTATATTTACTGATTCTTAGAGGTAATTAAAAATTTTATATACTTCCTAGGAAATGAGTCATATTAATACCTTTTTTATAAACCAAAATAATATATACCTAATCTGAACTATATATAATGAATAGCTACCGGGTTGTTTAGGAAAACTCATATATCACTAATTAAAAAATTAATTTTTGTTCCCTTTATTTTGTGCAGAAGTTGGACTATATCATAAATACATAGGAAATTTTAATACTGAATGAATTATTCGCTATGCACAAAGAAAGTTAGAAAGGGTGACGCTATAAGTTCTTCTATAAACCAAAACTGATTGTTTGGATTTGGTC